CAATTGTTCTCCCTTTCCGGCATACCGGGGAGTTAACTTCAAGGACATGGATGCCTCCACTATAGCCCCATCGCTCTTACAAGTGCAGTTATGCAAAGTGAAGGAACACGCCTCGAAATTCGAGTTTAAACTGTGGTATTTAGAGAAATTCACAAACTGTCTCGCTAGTCAATATGGCTTTTGTAAGGTTGTCGTTCTACCATAGACCCTTAATACGATTGGTTCGTTTGTTCGTTAATGCCTTGCGAATAAATCACTATGTTTTGCCATATTTTGGAAGCCTTGAAGTAAGGATTTTGGACACAAACTTGGTGGTATAATATTTTGGCCCAGGCCACTTTCATTAGGCTCCGAGGCAATCTAACATACTTCCTTAGAACTTTTTAAACTGACAGACATTTCCGATGTTCGACGTCAATAATGTTCTTTCCACCGGACTTCGTCCAAGCTGAAGGTGTACCTCAGGGATGTGTTCTAAGCTCAAACACTTTTTCTCCTTGCTAATAAAATGATTTGGCCTCTGTTTCTTCCACCCAGTATTTGGTCATAACTCTATGTTGATGACTTCGCTATTGCTTTGTGCAGGCCGCTCTGCTGCTGTCTCCTTATTGTTACGTGTCTCCCAGCATTTGCGGTCGACCTGTCCGTGTTTCCCACTTGGGCACCACACATGGGTTTAAATTTTCAAGTACCAAAACTCCACCCAAAATCACTTTCTCTCGCGCTCTGTTATCTCCGATCATCCTTTGTATCTCTATGGCTCCAGTATACCCCGAAAGTGATCAGTCAGGTTTCTAGGCCTTTCTTCTTTGACCGTCGGTTAAACCTGGAAGCTCACATTACCTTTGAGGCAACTTGTCACAGCGGCTTAACCTTCTTAAAACCTTGCCTAATATTTACTGGGGAGATGATCGTCGAAACTCTGCTTCGCCGTAAATTCAGCCTCGTTTTATCTCGAAACTCGATTATGTGTACAGATTTATTTTCACCCCGCGGCCTCTCCTGCTACTCTCTCTAGATTAACTTATCCATCACCATGGTTAGTTTGTGCCTTGGTGATTTTCGCTCTTCCCCTGTTGATGAGCCTCTATACAGAAGCATATGTTACCATCCTCTTTTTGATCGCCGTGATGCCCATTGCCTTAGTTAATTTGTACGCTCTCCGATCTACAAATCCTTCCATTTATAGATTGGTCACGATATTAGTAGAATTCTTTATTCATTCGCCGCCCTGTTTGCTCCGTCCCTTTTCATCTTTCGCCTGCATTTCAATTTGTCTTCCCTTCAGTTTACCACACCGTTATATTGTTTCTGTAGCATCTCTCTTTTCCCTACCACCCCCTGGGAAGTTTCCAGCTGTTCGGGTCTGTTCTTTCTCACTCCATTGATCGAAAGCTCAAATGCCTACGGTGGCTTCCAGCTCTCTTTATTTTCTTGATCACTTCCATCTATTCTCATGCCTCAGCTTGTGTACACAGATGGCTCTAAGTCTTCTAGACGGCGTCGGATTCGCAAGCAGTGTTTCCGGGACAGCGTGTACGAGGCGCATTTACTATCTTCAGCTAGCATTTTTACTGCTGAAACTGGTATATTGCCATTTCTTGCAGCACTATTAGTATCGCATCTATACCTGTGTCATCATTTGTCAGTAGTCTCAGTCTCCTTAGTGGCTCTACAGGCTATACGGAAAATTTGATACATCTTCCATCCCCTAGCTCTCCGTATCCAACTTTAGGCTACGCCGTATTCTCTATCCAAAACATAAAGATATTGTTTTTTGTTGGGTTCCCTGGTCATGTCGACGTACAGGGACATGAACAGGCAGACACTGTCAGCGCGGTCAGCAGTATTTGACATACCAATTTCCTAAGAGGTGTTCAATTTCTGACTATTTTGTCTGCATTAGCTACCCACCTTCGAAAGTTGGCAACAACGTTGGTCAACTACTGATCGGTAACACACAAATATCTTTCATTATACAGAGCATAGGATACTGGAAGGTCTCTTGTAATCAGTCGCCGAGGTTGGGAGACATCTCTACACGCCTTAGCATTGGCCCACACTCGTCTTACTCATGGGTATCTCCATGGAGAGGCACCCTGTTCCTCTCTGTGAGCAGTGTCCAGTTCAGTATAGGATTAGCCTCTGATTCTGTTAGACTGCCCTCTCTATCAACGATGCACGCAGAATTTACCTCCAACGTCGTCTTCGTTTCTCCTACTCTCTCCTTTACCTTCCCTTATTGATGATGGACCCATCCTTTAATCCTGACTCTCTCATTGACTTCTTGACAACGTACTGATTTACTCACTAATCTCTGATGATACTTTTCACACTCCCCTCAGCCCTTTCTGGTTCAGTCTCTTGCTGCCCTTTACCCTTTCACCATCCACTGCCCGGCTGTTATCCGTAACCTGTTCGCTATTCCATCTCCCTTTTGCCAACCTGATTGCCCCTCGCTTCCTTCCTTGCCCTGCAGCGCTGTATTATTGTCCTTGTTTTCACTGGCTTAGGCTTCTTTCTTTTTTTGATTATAATTATAATAATATTGTATGTTTATAATTTTATAATAATAATTAATAATAATAATAATAGTGTCAATTACCCAAATGTTCAGGCCATCAAGAAGCTTGGTCTGGAACAGGGCCTGGGGCCGATGAACCCTAGAACCTTCACCAGGCAACCAGGAAAGGTATCAATTGGTACCAATATCTGGCGGGGTTTTAGAGGGGAACTTCCATATCTATGCAAGTGACCGACCTGCTTCTCTTAGAACAGTTTCACACCCTATCATCGAATTATCTTTAAAGCTTCAGCTTTTCATTTTTTTTATCTCCGATCCTCCTCCTCTTCTGTGTCCTGTTAAATTCGAAATTAGGTTACCTCTGTTCCCTATCCCTTTACACTTATTTCTACCACCATCTATTCTATCGCTTCCTCTTATTAACATATGTTCTCCCCCTTTCACTTTTTTTTTTAAATGGGCACACCAGCGGTGAACTTTAGTTACTGTACATGGGTAGTTACTGATAGTGATAATTACTGTACATGGAAGAGCCACAACAACGACTAGGACAACCAACACACACTATTATAATCATGGGGGAGCGCTAAACCCGTAGTATTATACAGCGCATGTGGGAGGGATGGAAGGTATTCAGGCTCAATTCAGGGAACCGAATCACAGATCCAATTCCCTAGATCAAGAGCCCCTCACCAACGTCAAGGAACCTACCTTGAGGGGAACCAACACTCGGCAGCAGCTCAGCATTGTGAACCCGTTACTAGATGTTGGACATGTGTAACTGGCATTAACGATAATTTATGATGTACAGATGTTAGAAACATGGTATTGTGTTGATACAGTGTGTAACATATTTATATAATTAAACTGACGTGGAAGTAATGATAACCTGCTTGATGAAGAGTTCACGCGTACCCTCTGCTCATCCTCCCATGCTCACTACAGCAAACCCTGCACACTTTTTTGCATAAACAGTTTTAAAGACAGTAATTCAATCTGTAATCTGATCGTACCTGGCCACTATTCTTGCTCTAATGAAATTGGGGTCAAACGATGGAGTTTATCACTCGTGCTTAATGACCCACACAGGTTCAGGGCTTCACAATGAAAGAAAGTAGTGTATATTTATATACACAGTTTAATTTCCTGTTATGGTATAAATTTTTTTTTATTTTATTTAAAACAGTACAGAACAGTTAATAAAAATAATACAAGACCTATCCGGCAACAGATGTGATAACCTTCCATCGCCTAATGAACCACACACAACTCCGTGTGGCTTCCAACACCCCCCCCCACCTTTACCCCCCTATTCTAAATCAAACAGGTTTACCACAACAACCTGCATTAATCTTAGATATATTGACATATATACATTAATATAACAGTTGTCATGCTTGTCCACAAAGTGTATTAAACGACCACAAGACCGCTTGAACAGCGTACTAACAACAGTCATGGTTTAGATATATATCACAACAAACAGTACATTGCTACAACATAAGACATGTAGCACACATAAGTAATTCACTACAGGAAAAGACACCTATTCCTAAAAATTATCCCCAACATAAACGTGTTTAAAAAGCCCAAACCCCCCCCCTTTGCATTTCCCACCCAAACCTATTCCCACCCAAACATACCCAAAATTTTACAGTAAAGAAAAAGAATATAAAAATCGTAACACATTGATACAGGACATGTATATACACAACCCATTTCGCAAATAACCTCAAGTAAATTACAAACGGTCTACCATGTACAACAAGAGGCCTCATAGCAGCAGGTCCCCCAAAAACTAACACTAAACCCGTGTTTTTATACATTGTGTATGCATAGGTATAAAAATACATACCCAATTTTGACATAGAACATAAGGATGCTTTCCCCAAACCCCACCATACAGACCCCACCCCATAAATATTAACAACATAATAGTCCAAGATTCACACACACACAGCAGCATACGCCACCTCAACCACACCAGCGTACCTTAGGCGCACACAGGCGCAGGCAGCAACACCTCTAAACAGAACCTAACACTACTCATACTCCCCAATTTGCAGACATCTGAACAGCACATATCAAGTCACTTTCATCTTAACACTGGGCACATGCCCCTCAAGGCGCACGCTTCTGACGCTTCCCAGACACACACCTATTAAAACCCGGGGCTGCCATCAAGCAGCAGACCTCATCACACCTTCCACGATGATTCCCCGCCCCTATCTAACCCCCCCCCCCCCCCGCAAAAAGGCTAAGGTTTCCTCCCTCGCTGCCCCACACTACTTTTGCTTGCCCACTTGGGCCCTGGGGCCCCCGTTTGCCGCGCTCTCCACGCACGAACACCAAACCGTGCCACCTGGGACCACCTGCTGTCGCTGCTCACCTCCACTAGCGCACCGCCCCCCATCTAAACCCATGCTTTCTTCCCCGTTCGATGAGCCCCGGGGTCAGGACATCGTCAGAGTCCGACTTTGCCGCCGCCTTTCTTCCTCGTCCCACGTCCTTCTCCATGTTTGTGACTGGATCGTCCACACGATGAACCTCCACCACCACCTTCGTCTCAGCCTTCTGACGAGGGTCCCAACCACGTCCCCGCCAGCCCCACCAGCACCCAACAACCGCCTCTGCTGCTCTACTGCCACGGACACGAATCTCCGCACTGGCTGTCGGCACAGCCGGGGAGACCACATCCGTAGATGAGAACATGGAAAGCAAAACAGACGCTATTGTCGCATCCAAGTCCTCCACTTCCACCGTCACCTGGTCCTCCCCGGAAGCCTGCTGTACCACCGGCGATGCAGGCGACTCGAGAGACGACAGCTCCAGATTCGACACCACCACTGGCCCAATCTCCTCACTCCAAAGCCGACCGTGCCCACCATCTCCTTTTCGTCCATGTAGGGGAGCCTCCGGGCCCATCGTCATTCGTTGATCCACCGGCCGGCCTTCTGGCCTGCCCTCGCTGCCCACACTCTGCTGCCATATGATCATAGTCACCGCAGAGGCGGCACGTCCGTCGATGACCAGCATACGACACCATGACCTGTGTGCGGAAGTCATCAAGGTACACATACGATGGTATGGCCTGGCGTAGAGACATCTTAAGGGTAAATGAACCGCCGGGAGACCAGCATACGCCCCCCCAAACCCCATTGCCTTGTTTAGCGATGTGTAAACCCCTCCGTATCTTCTGAAAACACTTTCGGAGATCCTTGCATCGGCCCCGAAGGGGACATTGCGCAGGTTTCACACCCACGTATATTGTCGAGAGACATCCACCATACGCACATGCACGTCAGGGGACACATCTACGCAGAGATCTTGGAATTGCTCAACCAGCTTCTCGTACACTGGCTCGTAGAGTAGTTTCACAAATATCCGGTAGGCGCCATTTAATGCCACACCGTACAAATCCTTGTCCGCAATACCATAAGTGTCACGGATAATCTTAGGTAGCAAAACTTGTTCATTCTCAGGCGTAATCGCCCCCCGAACAAGCTGTATACCAACGGTATTCACCCGCCTCCTCACGCTGAATACCATGACGTCACTGGATAGCTTGCTAGACTGTCAGCAGAGAGGTATAAGGCACGTCCACACCCCCTGGCAGCTAGGTCGCGAATGATATACACAGTTTAATTTCCTGTTATGGTATAAAATTAGTATTAAAGTTCGTGTACAGGTGAGTTACAGCCACAGCGATCTAAGTGCAGGTTTTATATATTATAATAAATCATTATTATTTTCACGATTAAACGCTGAGCCGGTAGGTGTCGTACATCTGGAGAATGGGAGGTAATAGTTTTATCCGAGGAAGGGAAAGGTAGTAATAATTAATAAATAATAATAATAATAATAACAATAAACGTTATTTCAACAAGTACATGTACAAAATATACAGGCCTAGCTGACATCAATGGCATATTACTATATACTATATGGACAGCCCCCTTGTTATGCAGAGCATTTCGGGCAAATGTCAGTTTTGTCCCAGAATGCGTCCCACACCAGTCGACTAACACAGGGGTACCTATTTTACTGATAGGTGAACATGGACAGCAGGTGCCTTAAGGTAACAGTCCTAAAGTTTTCACCCGTACCGGGGATCGACCCCCGGATCACGGTGTGCGAGCTGTGTGCGCGCACAATCCAATTCTACGGATCGGGACCCCTCAAGGAAGGTTCCTTGATGTTGGTGAGGGGCTCTTGATTTAGGGAATTGGATCTGTGCTCCAGTTCCCCAAATTAAGCCTGAATGCCTTCCACATCCCCCCCCCCAGGCGCTGTATAATCCTCCGGGTTTAGCGCTTCCCCCTTGATTGTAATAATAATAATAATACGGATCGGGAGCCCTTAGCCAGCATCACGATATTCCAGTTTTTAAAGATCTGTAGTTTATACGCTTCACCATGTATGGCACTGTTTACCAGTCTCGGCGTCCTTCGCAAACTAAGTGTCTATTACTACTGAGACTTCCGTGTGCGAGCGTGCTTTGTAAATACCATAGCTGGAGCTGGCGACCTTGGTGGACGACGGGCTTGCACCGTTGGGTAAGTGAGTGGCTTGCCTTGTGTTGGTCGTTTCAGAAGCATCGTTGCTGATGTTACACTATATTACCCCAGAAGTACAGTGGCTGGTGAAGCAGTGCATCGTCAGAAGCACCTTGGGAGGTGCTGTTGTGTTGTGCCCCTAGACACTAGAGAGGGTGTCGCGTGTCGCCTCAAACATTGTTGGTGGTGGTGCATTGTATTGTCCCAAACATTGTAGATGGTGTTGCCGCGTAGCCACAAACACTTGGTGGTGTCGAGTGCGTCGCCCGAGAAGCACTAAGTACATTACTAACTACACTATTCCATTATTAGGAGTCACGCCGGTCAATCTTCCTTGACTTGAAAAATGCCTTCTGCCGGAGAGAGGATTCGACGAGGTGCGTAACCTGAAAAATGAACGGATAAAAAGCTACCTATCACTGTGTGTGTGTGTGTGTGTGTGTGTGTGTGTGTGTGTGTGTGTGTGTGGTATATATTTTTTTTCAACAAGTCGGCTGTTTCCCATATATATATATATATATATATATATATATATATATATATATATATATATGTGTGTGTGTGCGCGCATATGTACGAGTGTGTGTGTGCGCATATGTACGAGTGTGTGTGTGCGCATATGTACGAGTGTGTGTGTGTGCATATGTACGAGTGTGTGTGTGTGCATATGTACGAGTGTGTGTGTGCATATGTACGAGTGTGTGTGTGCATATGTACGAGTGTGTGTGTGCATATGTACGAGTGTGTGTGTGCATATGTACGAGTGTGTGTGCATATGTACGAGTGTATATGTATGTACGTGTGAGTGAACGTGTACGTACGTGTGTGTGAACGTGTACGTGTGTATATATATGTACGTGTGTGTAATATTATATATATATATATATATTATTTATATATATATATATATATATATTAATATATATATAGTGTGTATATATGTACGTGTACTCGCCTAATTGTGGTTACAGGGGTCGAGACTCAGCTCCTGGCCCCGCCTCTTCACTGGTCGCTACGTGTATGTATTTATGTACGTGTGTGTATGCGATATATATCGCTTCTCCACTCCCCTCTGGCAAGAATTCTAGCTGATATCTTTTTAGCATTTTTATTGAAACAAATCGGGTACAGCTAACTTTTTTTTTATCTCTAGGTTAGGTAAGGTTCGTCAGGAAACAGGACATGACCCGCCGTTGGAGCTTTTGGTCATCTGACCGAGGTCTTCCGCTGGCTTACCGGTCCACCCCTTTAAAAGTTATGGTCAGTTATAACCATTTTTTTCCTCTCTCATTCACAGATTTGTTGCGAGAAGACGGGTGTAGAGACTCCATCGCTACCTCAAACTCCAGAACGGCTGATTGTCCCCCATACGTTGACAGAAAAGTTAACTGTAACTCTGCAGTTAACACACACAGTGCACATAGTTCGTACGTTAAGGAACACTTTTACCGTGATACAGAATCCAGTAAGTGCAACAAATACGCAAACAGTAACTTTATTTACAGAATAACTTTATTTAAGAATAAGGTGCTCAGCGTTTATAACAGCAGAGGCGGCTACAACACAAACAGCGAGGTGGGGAGGGACGTCAATGAAGAAGCCATCAGTAAGAGTGTAGAGAGGAGCTGCGTCGACTCCAGGGAGGGTGTGGGGGGCCACAGGTCCACATGCGTCGGCGTCACCAGCAGTAGGTCGCCAGTAGTGTGTGGTGACCGGTACACACCAGAGTATTGGGGTTGGTGTTACACGCAGGACATCATGGCGGAGGCTCGCAGCGCTGTGGCTACCCCGAGGGTGCAGGAGAAGGACCTGGGCACCACGGATTCCTTAGTAGATTTCCTGAAGTTCTATCGCCAGATGATCGTCAGAAATTACTTCCGCTTTCGGTGAGTGTACATACATTTTGATATGGATTACCCTGTCAGAAGGGAAGTTACTGTGATGCAGGTGAAGGTTTCTTGATCCAAAGAATTGAAGCTAGCTTTCTCTTACTCGGATCAAACTTTATTATCCCCATTCCCCGGGCACTGAATTACTCCATACGAGCTTAGCGCTTTCTCTTGAATATAATATGTATTGCTTAAGTATCATGGATACTTATTTGTGGAACACCTTCAACAGCTTTAACTACTGACATCCAGAGGAACTTGTTAAACAAAATTATATTAAATCCTCGTTTGTGTTTCATCTGCATCTTTGTTGGCATCTGTTCCATTGTTCCTGAGGGGCACATTTTACTCGTGTACTCAGAAGTTTCTTCTATTTACGTTGTAATCATATATTCCTTAGTCATCTCATCCTGAGTCTTCAGGTTCATTCTTTAGGCTCAGTTGTGACTTCCATTTAGCTTTGAACTAGTCTGGTTGCAAACCTTTGGACATTTTTTTTAAACTTCTAAACATACTTGATCAGGTGGGGCGAGGGAACCTTCGTGCTGGCAGTCTTGCATATACTGCCGAAGTTGGTTCATGTGCTCCTCCGGTGATAGGTTCAGTGATATACACCTCCATCACCAGTTCTTTATTGTTTGTAGATTCCTTCCTGCCAGTATGTACTCCGGTCATCTCTCTCCTTTCCCGACGTGCATGACTTTCCACTTGTTAGCAGTAAGTTCCGGCAGCCACTCGTTGGAAATCCCTTGCAATAGTTTCACATTTCGTAGGTTACCTGGTGCAACTTACCCCCTGCCCTTTTGTGCTTTGTCTATCTACCTTTAAATCCAAAATATAGTTGTAACTTCATCTCTTAATATATATTATCAAAGAAGGTACGTAAACTTTTATTATTATTTAGGACTCGTAGAAGTCATAGTACCAAGGGAATTGGGAGGTAATCAGGTTTAATCCAGTGGGAGAGTAACTCCAATGCCTTTGATCAAGAACCCTGCACTAGCATCAAGGCACTCCGTTAAGGGGATAAATGTGTGGTACAAATGTGTAAGGGGTGGTCCAGAACTTAGCTTCTGTGACCAGAAGCTCCACTAAGTGGGTAATATGGCTACGATCAGTCCCTAATTTTTTTCTTGACAATTAAAGTGCCTCGTTTCCGTGCTTCTCCCTTTTAATTGCGGCGTGCCTTGATGCTGGCGAAAGGTTCTTGATCCAAGGCGTTGGAGACATTCTTCTTGGATCAAGCCTGATTTACAAACCATTAATATATACCTATTACCTACCGTTCTTCAGGGGCATTATGACTGAGTTGGCTCTATCCATAAATATTAAAATGCCCTGGTCACTATCACTTAAATTATGGGTGCTTATGACACCCTGGGGCTGTGACGTCATCTGACGAGGTCGTGGACTTAAATGTTGTGACGTCACCTCGACTCTTAATTTTTAGCCTAGTCATAGTTTATCCTAGACAGCTTCTCCCTAATACATGTACTAGTTAGATGCATTTCGATCTCTGTGATCCAAGAAAGGTATCATCGTATCATAAACCCATCCCAGTACATAGTGCGTAATAAGTTTCTAATGCTGTTAAAAATCAGCGTCAAGATTTAACGCCAAAGAGAAGAGGGATTCGCAACATATGGTTTGAAAATTATCGAATTATTTAAGTAAAATGTCAAATTGGCGCCTACACAGCTTGGAATAAATTCAGGCCTTTCTCTAAGATTTGAAGCAGAGAGAAAAGGCTTTTCTGGTTATTGCTCAGAATTCAGTTACGTATTATTAAACATGAAAGAATTAAAAGTTGGGAATACTTACAGCAGCATAACTCAGCGTGGTGATACCAACACTAAGAAATTGGGATATGTCCGGTTCTGCCAGACGTAAGACTTAAGCTGCCAGTTTTTCGTTATTGGCGGGTAACTACATAAATAATAGGTTAACCTAATCAACAATAACGAATACCTTTTTCTTTTTTGTAAAATTTTAAATGGGCAGAAATCCACAAATTGTCGAAAAACTCCCACTACCCTGGTAGTTACTAGTGACAAGAACTGCTGTTTTGGGACTCGAGTTTTCCCGTAGCCTGGAGCAGGCAACAAGCCTGTTCTTTTTCGTTCACAGGTAATTTTTTTTCTCGTTTTTTGCTTATTCATCATTTCTTTTTAATAAGCCGCGCCCCTTTTCATACCGTAAATTAAATGAAATAGAATTCTTGTCCTGATTTTGTTCCTGTGAGGTTCCCAACGTCAATTTCTTCATGCTTCCAACAAATTTACAAATATTATTTAAAGCTAAATTATTTAAAGCTAAATTTTGTTGGTTTAGGTTTGTATATATCTATAAAACGTACATTTAGCCACAAATTACAAAATTTAAATATCCCAGCTGCGACACATCTGGCAGTGACATGGTAGGAAACGTTCAGATCTGCACAAGCATCACTTGTGGGTCTAGACTCTTGGTGTTAACCACTATACACACCCAGTAGTGGGCGTGGTTGACTTTTTCAAACCGACAGTTTTTCTAATTGAATATGTAATATACTTTAAAGGTCCTCTGCTGCTACACTGGAAATATTTTTAACTCAATGAAACGTTTATAGAATGCCGCTAAAATTCCGGATGATCGCCTGTGCTTTTAAACTGGTCGTCTCGTCACCCTCGTAGTTCCCGTCGTGCTATGTCCGATCACACAGTTGAGCACTAGCACTACACCAATATGAGCACTAGTTCCAGGCATTTTTCCCTGTTCACCTGGGTGTTAGTCGACTGGTGTTACCTGGAGGTTATTCCGGGGATCAACGCCCCCGCGGCCAGGTCCATGACCAGGCCTCCCGATGGATCAGGGCCTGATCAACTAGGCTGTTACTGCTGGCCGCACGCAGTCCGACGTACGAGCCACAGCCCGGCTGATCCGGCACTGACTTTAGGTATCTGTCCAGCTCTCTCTTGAAGGCAGCCAGGGGTTTATTGGCAATTCCCCTAATGCTTGATGGGAGGCTGTTGAACAGTTTTGGGCCCCGGACACTTATGGTGTTTTCTCTTAGTGTACCAATGGCGCCCCTACTTTTTATTGGCGGCATTTTGCATCGCCTGCCCAGTCTTTTACTTTCGTAGGGAGTGATTTCTGTGTGCAGATTTGGGACCATTCCTTCCAAGATTTTCCAAGTGTAGATTATGATATATCTCTCCCTCCTGCGTTCCAACGAGTACAAGTCAAGTGCTTCCAAGCGTTCCCAGTAGTTAAGGTGCTTGACAGAACTTATACGTGCAGTAAAGGATCTCTGTACACTCTCTAGATCTGCGATTTCACCTGCTTTGTATGGAGATGTTAATGTACAGCAGTATTCCAGCCTAGAGAGAACAAGTGATTTGAAAAGGATCATCATGGGCTTGGCATCTCTCGTTTTGAAAGTTCTCATTATCCATCCTATCATTTTCTTTGCACGTGCGATCGTGGCACTGTTGTGATCCTTGAAAGTGAGATCCTCAGACATTACTACTCCCAGGTCCCTTACATTATTTTTCCGCTCTATTGTATGGCCGGAGTCAGTAGTATACTCTGTTCTAGTTATTATCTCCTCCAGTTTTCCATAACGGAGTAGTTGGAATTTGTCCTCATTGAACATCATATTGTTTACCGTTGCCCACTGGAAAACTGTTTATATCTTCTTGGAGGTTAACCGCGTCCTCAGCAGATGACAGCCTCATGCAGATCCTAGTATCATCGGCAAAGGATGATACGGTGCTGTGGTGTATATCTCTGTTTATGTCTGATATGAGGATAAGAAGCCTCCCTTCGACCCCGCAGGGATGGGAATTTGTTCTACAAACGTCACATCATTTTCACAATGCTGTTGCATCGTGTGAAAATCAAGCCTGTGAATGGTGCAATAAATGACTCCTCGAAGTTAGCTTTAGCTACCGTCGTTAGGACCTGCATGCAGGTCAAATTTACGGCAATCCACTCTCTGAAGGACTCCTTCATTGTCTGTGCAGACGACATGTCCCTCAGTCTGGAGAAGAGTATTGTTCCATAGTCTGAAACAATATGGAGCTGAAGTGACAGGATGGAGCCTTATATACCGCCAGGTGGTGAGATGTAGGCTACCAGTAGACGTAAGAATGAAGACGTTGGGAGGTCAGGTCCCTCTCAAATCCTGCCATTCTCACTAGTAGAAGTTGTCCAAGTTGATTTCAGGTCTGTACCAAGATACCCTTGTGTTGCAGTGTCTGAACATTAAAATGGTATAAAATACCGACAGGTTGTTAGGTAAGACACATACCTAACAACCTGTCGGTATTTTATACCATTTTAATGTTCAGACACTGCAACACAAGGGTATCTTGGTACAGACCTGAAATCAACTTGGACAACTTCTACTAGTGAAAATGGCAGGATTTGAGAGGGACCTGACCTCCCAACGACTTCATTCTTACCTCTACTGGTAGCCTACATCTCACCACCTGGCGGTATATAAGGCTCCATCCTGTCACTTCAGCTCCTGAAGTGACAGGAACTTGTTTGCTTTTGCTTGCCCTCGTGGTTTTGTGACGAACCTAGCAACAAACTCTTGACTAGTATAGAGACGATACCGAATATTTTACCGATACCACTAAAATTAACCACTGTTCATAGATACCGGTACTCGGTTAAAGACCCGTACCAGTAAGATTTAATTGATACCCATTGATACCAATACTTGGCACACCCCTACTCTTAACTTTCTCAAACTTCCTCTCGTCACGACACGAGGGTTCTATACGTATTACGTATGCTATGTACAGTGATGTGAATGCCTCCTTGTTCAGAATCATAAAGAATATTTCTTGCTTTGGGTATGAATTATATTTTGTGCTCAAGAGAAAGGTTTGTTGGGCTGTCCATTAATAGTATTTTTTTTTTTTGTCCCAGTGACCTTCCTAATGTGGTACTCTCCCGCAGTCCTACCTGCTGATATCATTCCTTTATGACCTTGTACATGCTGGGGCTGAATTCGAGCAGCCACTTGCTTTATCATTCCTGTAGCTAAATGCATTCCTCTTTATTTTCGTTAGCGTTGTTATTCAAAAACATAGACATTGAGGAGTCTTTCACGTGGCACATCGTTTACATATATCCATTACTTTGCAAGGTAAGTATATCACCTATACTGGTCTGAGTTTAGCTCCTTAGGATTGGTATATCTTACATTTAAAAAATATCAGGTTTTTGGCAACCCCTGTATCCAGCGAATCGTAGATCCTGATTAGTTTCCAGTACCTCTGCCGTCTTTGTTTCCATGGTAAACATTTAAACTGGTCCCATTGTCTTTGATGTATTCCTTTCATTCAGGTACTTTTTTTGTGACAAGTAAAAGGTTTAAGAGTGTGAGAAAACTTTTCTTTCCTCGTTTTCGGTAACTGTCATGATGGTTGTAAACGCTATTTGCAGTCTTTTTACAGTATTTTTCGCTTATTTCCTATTCGTCCTTTACTTATTCTCTCTGATTCTGTGATCATTTGCCTTTCAGTACTATTTGTGTTCCCCGAGATGTAATATATTTGTTTTAAGCACATCGGCGTTTCCCACCGAGGCAGGTTGACCCGAAAAAGAAGATACTTGTATCACCACTCACTCCATCACTTGCCAGAGGCGTGCCAATACTGTAGTTCAGAAGCTGCAACATATCTCCACCCATTCTCAAAGTGCAGGCACTGTGTGGCCCGGTGGTCTGGTGGCTAAAGCTCCCGCTTCACACACGGAGGGCCCGGGTTCGATTCCCGGCGGGTGGAAATTCCGACACGTTTCCTTACACCTATTGTCCTGTTCACCTAGCAGCAAATAGGTACCTGGGTGTTAGTCGACTGGTGTGGGTCGCATCCTGGGGGACAAGATTAAGGACCCCAATGGAAATAAGTTACAGTCCTCGATGACGCACTGACTTTCTTGGGTTATCCTGGGTGGCTAACCCTCCGGGGTTAAAAATCCGAACGAAATCTTATCTTATCTTATCTTACTTCAGTCGTCTGAGCTACTATCATCGTGTGAGAGATCACCTCTGAAACTTCTCAGAAATGAAAAGTAAAACTTGCTAGAAGGGAAATTACATAAGTGTCTAATGTGCTTCTGTGAAGGAGAGGTATGTGTTTTTTCGTAAAACACCAAACACACTTGGATAACTCAGCCTAAGGAATTGAGGATCGATCCTCTGTCCACTAATCGCGACCCGGTTTATGATCAGTTAGGCTGTAAGTGACCCCGTTGGAAATAACTGATTTTTTGGGGGGATTATCCTAGGTAAATTAGTGTTAAACTATGTATGATATTTGTATACCTGTACCTAAACAAACTTGTTAAAATCCAGAGAGGGAGTATCAATGCGAGGACTGTGCTGCACATGCAGAGAATCTTTGTAGTGTAGTCATGGAACACTGCTATACTTAAGTTCATTGTGGAGGCTAGGTAGAGAGGTACTCGGTAATTGAGAGGGTTGTTCTTGGTTCATGAAGGCTGTGTAGTCGGGTACATGGTGTGTTCATGGGTGGCCTTGGGCTCATCACGGAGACTTAGTAGCGAGTGCATGAAGGTGAACACAACCATTATTACTGAATGGAACTTTTGTTTAGTCTGCCAAATGCCTGATCATGCCCTCTCGCCCGGCCAATACAAAGATGTGCTCTGCGTTTATACTTTTGTCGTTACTGTCAAAAGGACACGTTTTAAATCAAGGATAACCCAACAGAATGCTGAGTTTTTCTCAAACGAAGCTTCACAAAAATTTTGGGTTATTAGTTTTATTTTGGCAGCTTTAATAAACTTTATTTTCTGCGTAAAAACTGGGACTACCTCTTCTGAGTAGCTTCAATCCATAAATGCTCGGACATTTTTCACTTACGAAAGTTTAGTGTTTTTTTATTATAATTACTTAAAAGGTTTGGGTTGATTTTGTGCTAGGTAGCTGCCAATTTGATTGAAATTGGGAAATTGAACTGTTCAATCTGGTTTCATTTGCTCGGCTTCAAAACTTCAATGCCCATTCAACTTCTCAGCTACACGAAATTTAATGTGATGGATTTTGGGATATTGCTTTTCGTACGATAACTAGAGAATGCCTCTTCTGATTTGCTGTAAGTTTTCAAAGATTGTTTATCTTAGTGGCTCGTTGAAATTGGTTTTGGGCTCTTCATTTGTTAATGTAACATTTAAAGGAAGCCAGTTACACAAGCGAAACATCTTTAGAAAAATTCTGTTCTGCACTAATATCGATGTCAATTGATTTGGATTACTAATGAGGCGACGATATTGATCTAGGCATTCTTATTGGAATATACACGAGAGACTATAAGGCGATACCCAGCTATAAGTGAACTTAACATTACATGAGCACGACCCATTTTGCTCTTGCACGTCTTGCCATGGCTCTATTAAAGTACATGACTGGGCACACACTACTGCTCAGCACTTGCATAAATACTTGTACCGTCGTTTACGCATGCACGCTTACGAAATCACGTGTTTACTTGGGTACGCATTATATAAAAATATATATTATATATATATATATATATATATATATATATATATATATTTTATATATATATATATATATATATAATGATACTGTAAAATACTATGGTAACCTTTGGTTCAACAGGCATTACGAGGAAACAAAAGCTAGGTGTAAGAAGTAAAGGCAAAGATGTAGAGGAATGGTAGAAAACAATACTAGAATGCATGATACGCGGGACGTGATAGTTTGAAGATAAAAGTAACCACTGCAGTGAAAAACCAATCCTAGCTACTCGGCAATCGCATAGTGAGAGACTAAGTGAAACTGTTTATGAGCAATGAGAGTTGAGGAATATGCACAAAAGATTCCAGGAGAGCTATACGACTGAACATGATTAACTGGAAGAAGCATTCACTAAGGAATATTACAGCATTTCAAGGAAATGTATATGGAAAGGGAAGCGAGAGCCAAAGGAAGTAAGTCAGATATGGTATCGAGTGTAATTATTACATTTTGGCTGGTATGATGGTACAAAGAGCAAACCTATACTGATAGTATTTCGCTTACAGGCGAGTCTTCAAGTCTGACTTGCAAAGTTCATAAAAAGGCTTATTCTGCTGTCTTAGTACCTGTTGGCATCTTTTTTATTTACCCTTTTATTTACCTTTTTTATTTACCTCGTGACTGGGGGGGGGGGAGATTAAGATAGTGCAGAGAAATGTGACGGTTTTCTTTCTTTTTACCTCGTTACATAAAATTAATGTAATGTATGGGTGCATTTAAAAATGTCTACCACTTTTATTTTCATTCACTAGCCAGAAACCTATTTAACAATACGCGATATTTACATAAATTTGCAGATCATGTTTTGCTGCATCTAACAGATCAGAGTTACCAAAATGATATGCTCAGTGTAAATGCTGAATTTTTTTTTCAGTTTAGAATTGTTTTTATTATTTTGACGTAGTGTGTTTTGTTATAAATGTAGTTTGGTGCGTGTATTTTTTTTGTACTTTGTGTTTGTGCTACAGTATTAGTGTTCTTTTGTTTGCTCGGGACTGAAATGGGCTTCGTTTTTTTTTTTTTTTTTTACCCTGGTAGCAATTCAATTCGCAACGGTGTGTGGCCGACGTCGACCAACAACTTGGGTGTAGCGTGCGCCTTCTCCGTCTACCTGCTTGAGTATGAGCCTGCCTCAGCACAAGCCATCACTGCTTATCTTAAACGTGCTGTGCAAGGCCTGCCTCTCCCATCCAGTGAGTATAGAATTTCTCTCTCTCTCTCTCTCTCTCTCTCTCTCTCTCTCTCTCTCTCTCTCTCTCGTTGACTTTACATACTATGGATTGTTATCCTACCCCATTTTATTTCAAAGCTTAACTCTAAGATGTACATTGCCACTATCCAGGATGCCAGCTACAACAGTCTACAACAATCCAGGTACTTATTTACTGCTAGTTGAACATGTACAGATACGAGAAAACTTTCCTACATTTCTTTTAATTGATGCACAAGTTTTTGCCAGCTCGAAGCTTCAAATTATTACGATAGCTTGATTCTGAACATTCCAAAGGATTAGCTCCAGGAAGTGAAGAGAATGACGTCATTACACACACCTTCAAATGTAGTTGGGAAAAAGAAACTAGTTTGTAGGCGAGTGTCTGACCTCTTGTTTAGTTGTCATTAAGAGAGCAACAAAGGAGTGAAGAGAGTCCAAGAGATGTAACAATAAAGCGAGTGAGGATGGGAACATACGTGTAGGGGGGGGGGGTTTTTTTTTGTCAGTAGGAATTGGAAATTTTCTGCTGACGTGGGTCTTGGTCACACGACTCGTTCACTGAAGCTTTTAGTAATTTAACAGACTCCTTCTCTTTGCGTACCAATCCACCCTGTAAAAATAAATGTTGGATAATAAAATGTGTTGGTACGTTTCCATGTCCATTCAAAATAGAGGATAACCGTACTGTAGGGTGCTATTAAAGAAGTGTATGGATTATTATTATTATAATCAAGGGGGAAGCGCTAAAACCCGAGGATTTAAGCGCCTGGGGGATGTGGGAAAGGGATTCAGGGGTTAACGGGGAATGGACACAGATCCAATTCCCCAAAAACAAGGCCCCTCACCAAAATCAAGGGAAACCTTCTTTTGGGGGGGGGGGTATGGAGAAAGTTTTACTACGTGCATTATGGACAACGTAAGCGCACCATCTGGTCATGTAACGAATTGACACGGAAGTGAAAGGGGGAATTATATTTGGACAAATTTTTTTTACATTTCACGATATAGGTACCCATTTTTT